GCAGAATATCAGAGTTGAGGTCTGCTGCATGACTCAGAAACATTTTGCCCATAACATTCAGTTCTGATCTTAGATACAATCACCAGCCAAATTCACCACTAGTGTAAACATATTCATCTTCTATAATCAGGTACTACATCTTCTGATTTTTCAAGGCACATATGCTATCATGTGTCTGAGATCACAGCTGAGATGGAAGAGGATAGTGAAGGGAAACAGAAAGAAAACACATATTCCAGGAAATATTTTTTCATGCTTTCCTACTTCTTAAATTTATTATCTGAATGAATATATATATATATAAATTATTCATGTTACCAGAAAACATATGAAGTTGGATTTATCACTGAGCACCTTCGTAGGGCTGTGACAGTTTTCAGGGTACCCAGGACTGAGAGTGTTGCGTGTGTCTATTCATAGATAGGGCAAACCGCTGTCTTATTGTAATGTTCCTTTTTCATCTCCAAGTGGTTGAGATTGTTTGCAGTTGTCTCTGATGGTTTTCCATTGATTGCTTTTGGATGAACAACTGACCCTTGCAATACACCACCACCTAACCAGAGGTGACAACTGCCTCCTGCTTGAATGGGTCATCACTGAGACAACAAATAACCAAACTGCAAAAAAGAGAAAAATATTTATTTTCTCCCATCTGTTACAGTATTAAAAGTGTTATGACTTTTAACAAGAGTGGGTAAAAAATTTTCAGACAGAAGAGTGGTTTCAAAAGTGACACCATTCTTTAAATTGAACCTTACTTAATAACTTACGGTGTTTCTCTTCTCAGAAGTGAAGATGAAAGGCTCTGGTAATCTATGCCTTTGTAACTTGCAGACCAGAACTCTGGACATGCTCAACCTACTGACCAGAAGGGTTATGCAAAAACTGCAAATGGTCCATGATGATGCATTTCCCACCTATATAGGATAAACTGGAGAGAGCAGATCATCATAACAGCATACCTTACTCTGCAATGGCTCCAATCCAATTGCAGATGATGTTTCTGATCTTCAGAGTCCTTAACTGTCTGGATCTCATTTATCTATATCACTTGACTACAATTGCGGATTCATTGTGGATTCTGCTGAGTAGCTGATGGTTCCCAGGATCGAATGTGCAGTTGAAAAGAGCTCTCTATTTCTATCAAAGAGATCACCATCACAAGCACACCACTGCTAAAATGACCTAAGAGCAACGTGTTGTAGCTGTGTTGGTCCCAGGATATTACAGAAGGGTGGGTGCGGTGATATCCTTCACACGATCAACCTCTCTTGATGAAAGAGCAAACAGTACTGCCAAATTAAATGTAAAAATGTAGTAAGAAAAGCGAAAAAGGCGTTGGAAGAACAGCTAGCCAAAAACTCAAAAGGTAATAACAAAGTGTTTTTTAAGTACATCAGAAGCAGGAAGCCTACTAAACAACCAGTGAGGCCCCTGGACGATCGAGATACAAAAGGAGCACTTAAAGATGATAAAGTCATCACAGAGAAATTAAATTAATTCTTTGCTTCAGACTTCACGGCCGAGGATGTTAGGGAGATTCCCAAACCTGAGCCGTCTTTTGTAGGTGATCTGAGGAATTGTCACAGATTGAAGTGACACTAGAGGAGGTTTTGGAATTAATTAAGAAACTTAACAGTAACAAGTCACCGGGACCAGATGGCATTCACCCAAGAGTTCTGAAAGAACTCAAATGTGAAATTGCAGAACTATTAACTATGGTTTCTAATCTGTCCTTTAAATCAGCTACAGTACCCAATGACTGGAAGATAACTAATGTAACGCCAATATTTAAGAAGGGCTCTGAAGGTGATCCTGGCAATTACAGACCAGTAAGCCTAACGTCAGTACTGGGCAAATTAGTTGAAACAATAGTGTGGAAGTATAACATTGTATAAGTATAACGTTGTATAAGGGGACATGCTGGATACATTGTATATGAGAGGGCATGCCAAAACATGTTACAAAGTATCTGAGGGAGCACACGTAGGGACAGTTAGCTTTTGAATGGAGAAGCAATTAAGATAGAGCCAGCACGTCTAAGAAGCAGGCATCAGAATGGAAGGTGTGAAGGGCAATTAGTTAACTGGAAGCTGTTAAAGGAGATTGTTAAGGGTGGCAGGTAATTGAAGATACGTGACTGGTCTCAGGGATCTCGAAGGGTGCTGACTAAAATCATTTTCTTCTTTTGTCTGTAACTTCTCTGTAACTTGTTCTCCAAAAACTGTATAAATTAAGAGACACAAGCCCCACTCGGGGGGCTCACTTCTAAATGTATTAGCAGAGCAGCTTTGCTAATAAAACAGAGTGGTCTGATAAATTGTGAGTCTGAGTCAAACTTTGACAATAGTAAAGAATAAAATTGTCAGATACCTAGAAGAACATAAATTGTTGGGCAAAAGTCAACATGGTTTCTGTATAGGGAAATCATGTCTTACTAATCTATTAGAGTTCTTTGAGGGGATCAACAAACGTGGACAAAGGGGATCCAGTGGACATAGTGTACTTAGACTTCCAGAAAGCCTTTGACAAGTTCCCTCACCAAAGGCTCTTATGTAAATTAAGTTGCCATGGGATAAGAGGGAAGATCCTTTCATGGATTGAGAATTGGTTAAAAGACAGGGAACAAAGGGTAGGAATAAATGGTAAATTTTCAGAATGGAGAGGGGTAACTGGTAGTGTTCCCCAAGGGTCAGTCCTAGGACCAATCCTATTCAACCTTTTCATAAATGATCTGGAGAAAGGGGTAAACAGCGAGGTGGCAAAGTTTGCAGATATACTAAACTGCTTAAGATAGTTAAGACTAAAGCAGACTGTGAAGAACTTCAAAAAGATCTCACAAAACTAAGTGATTGGGCAACAAAATGGCAAATGAAATTTAATGTGGCTAAATGTAAAGTAATGCACATTGGAAAAAATAACCCCAGCTATACATACAAAATGATGGGGGCTAATTTAGCTACAACTAATCAGGAAAGAAATCTTGGAGTCATCCTGGATAGTTCTCTGAAGACATCAACGCAGTGTGCAGCGGCAGTCAAAAAAGCAAACAGGATGTTAGGAATAATTAAAAAAGGGACAGAGAATAAAATGGAGAATATCTTATTGCCCTTATATAAATCCATGCTATGCCCACATCTTGAATACTGCGTACAGATGTGGTCACGTCATCTCAAAAAAGATATACTGACATTAGAAAAGGTTCAGAAAAGTGCAACTAAAATGATTAGGGGTATGAAACAGGTCCCATATGAGGAGAGATTAAAGAGGCTAGGACTTTTCATCTTGGAAAAGAGGAGACTAAGGGGGGATATGATAGAGATATATAAAATCATGAATGGTGTGGAGAAAGTGAATAAGGAAAAGCTATTTACTTGTTCCCATAATATAAGAACTAGGGGCCACCAAATGAAATTAATGGGCAGCAGGTTTAAAACAAATAAAAGGAAGTTCTTCTTCACACAGCACACAATCAACCTGTGGAACTCCTTGCCTGAGGAGGTTGTGAATGCTAGGACTATAACAGGGTTTAAAAGAGAACTGGATAAATTCCTGGAGGTTAAGTCTACTAATGGCTGTTAGCCAGGATGGATAAGGAATGGTGTCCCTAGCCTCTGTGTGTCAGAGGGTGGAGATGGATGGCAGGAGAGAGTTCACGTGATCATTACCTGTTAGGTTCACTCCCTTTCGGGCATCTGGCATTGGCCACTGTGGGTAGACAGGATACTGGGCTGGACGGACCTTTGGTCTGACCCAGTATGGCCATTCTTATGTTCTAAAGGCAAAAGGTAGCCAGACCAATGAATGAGACCATTAAAACTAGAATGTGAGGGGAAAACTCACCCCTTGCAAGCACAGAAAACATTAGCAATGCATGTGATTGGACAGTTCCTCATCAAATACGTGTAGTGTGTGCTCAGGTCTTGCTGAGCTCCTGAGACCATACCTCAGCCTTTGCTGGGCTTAAGTTAGCATGTGACAGGTGCTTGGTCCCTGCATGGATGATTGCAAATTTGCACGGATGTAAGAGAAATTTTCAATTTTCCATCAGAAAAACTGAAATGATTGTCCCCAGGCCAGCTGCCTGCACGGCTTTTATCAATTTTCTTGCAGGCAGAAAACTTCCATTTCAGCTCTTCCCAAATATCAGACGGGTAGCCTTGTTAGTCTGTACCCAGAAAAACTATGAGAATTCCGGTGGCACCTTGAAGACTAACAGATTTATGTGAGCATAAGCTTTCGTGGGTAAATAAACACTTCTTCAGATGCCTGTCCATCAGCATGTGCATCTGAAGAAGTGGGTTTTTACCCACGAAAGCTTATGCCCAAATAAATCTGTTAGTCTTTAAGGTGCCACCGGCCTCCTCATAGTTCTTCCCAAAGATACCTATTTGGAATTTCTCTCCAGCCAAAAATTTTGAGGTTTTTATTTTTTGTCCCGATTTGGGATGAAATTTTTTCTCAAGCTTTGAATCGTTCAGTAGACCGAAAACTGTGTTTTCCTGCCAGCTCGCAGGCGCTGCCCTTGCTGGATGGTGTCAGGGCTGGGGTGGCCTGGGCTCAGGCGGGCCTCTCTCCCTGGGGACCAGGCCCCGGGCTGGTGAAGGAGCAGGTGGAAGGGAGGGGTGACGAGGGCGGGCCCCTCACTGGCCCGGGACGGGGGAGGGGGCGGGGCTCTCGCAGAGGATTCAGGGTCCCGATCGGCTCCCGCGCGGGTGGGGGTGACGCCCGCCCGAATCCCACTGGCGGGAGGCGCTCGGCTCGAGGGCAGCAGCGCAGGCGCAGCCGCCGGCACGAGCCCAGACATTAGCCACGAGCACGCGAGCGCGCGCTGCGTGCCGGTGATGGGGTAGACGGGTCACGCGCGCACGAACGGACGTGACTTGGCTTCGCACAGTCTTGTTCCGGCTCTCAAAGACACACGTCGTTAGCCACGCCCCTCGCAAGGCGCTCCGCTCTCTGTCCCGCCTCCTGCGGCCGCTTGCCGCGCACGTGCCTGGGGGTTTCCGCATCCGGGGCAGCCAAACAGCCGCCGTTTAGTTCCGGAGGCGCAAGCGCTGTGGCCGTTGGCCGGGCGGCTCCGCTCCCGCCATGAAGATCACGCGGCAGAAACATGCCAAGAAATATATGAGCTTCTACAAGTACAACTTCGGCTTCCGGGAGCCCTTCCAGGTGCTGCTGGACGGGACTTTCTGCCAGGCCGCGCTGCGCAACAAGATCCAGATCCGCGATCAGCTGCCCGGCTACCTGGCTGGGGCCACCCAGCTCTGCACTACCCGGTCAGTGGCTGCGGCGGGGGAGGGGCCCCGCCATGCTGTCACGTGACCAGGCGGACGGCTGTGCGCGCGCTTGGTGGAGGCCGTTACCGTGGCCCGGGCGGGCGCGCGCGCCTGACATCTGACTCGCTTGCCCGTCCCGGAGGTGGCGCGAGGTGAACTGATATCCAAGCACCGGGGGGGGGGGTCCCCGTGGGATTCACCCCGTCCCCGTGTGACCCTGCTGGTGCGGGCGGGGCTGTGCACGGGAGCCCCGGCTGGCGCGGGGGGGGACAGCGGCCAGGGCCTGGGAGACGGCGGTGGGCTCTGCGGCGGAGAGCGACGTGAGCCTGAGGGAAGCGGTTCGTTCCCCTCCCGTGCGGGGCTCCGCAAAGCCAGAGTATCCCTCCCCCACTGCGGGCAGGGCTCGGGCAGCCCCGAGAGCTGGTGGGCCCCGGGCTGCGCACAGCCTCCGACCCCTGTCCATGGGTCTGAGGCGCTGTGCCAGGCTGAGGTGTCCCGAGAGAAGGTTTTGGAACAAATCGATAAACCGGAATAAGTCCCCAGGGTCAGACGCGACTCTCGGAAGGGTTCTGAAGGAGCGGAGGTATCCTGTCCTGTGTAACTTGTCGCATAAACCAGCCTCTGCGCTTTCGGACTGGAGGGTTGGTAATGTAGCACTGGCTTTTAAAATAGCCTTCAAAGGCGATCCTGGCTGATAGAGGCCTCTGAATCTAACTTCAGTACCAGGCAAATTGGCTGAAATGATAGTGAAGATCGGCATTATCAAACACATAGATAGATGTGGTTTGTAGGGGAAGAGTCAACATGGCTTTTGTAAAAGGAAATCAAATCCCACCAATCTATTAGAATTAATTGGGTGGGGTGAGGATCAGCAAAAGTGGACAAGGGTTATCCATTTGCTCTAGTGATTGTGGACTATCAGAAAGCCTTTGAGTGCCCTCACCAAAGGATCTTGAGCAAAGTAAAGTGTCATGGGATAAGCCAAGGTCATCTTATGGATCAGTAACTGGTTAAAAGATGATTTAGATGATGGCATAGAGAGTACACTTATAAAGTTTGCAGACAATACCAAGCTAGGAGGGGTTGCAGGTGCTTTGGAGGATAGTATTATAATTCAAAATAATCTGGACAAACTGGAGACATGGGCAGAAGTAAATATGACAAAATTCCATAAGGACAAACGTAAAGTACTCCACTTAGGAAAGAACAAACAATTTTACACATACAAAATGGGAAATGACTGCCTGGGAAGGAGTACTGCGGAAAGGGATCTGGGGTCATAGTGGATCACAACCTAAATATAAGTCAACAGTGTAACGCTGTTGCAAAAATGCAAACATCATTCTGGGATGTATTAGCAGGAGTATTGTAAGCAAAACACAAGAAGTAATTCATCCGCTCTACTCCATGCTGATTAGGCCTCAACTGGAGTATTGTGTCCAGTTCTAGATGCCACCTTTCAGGAAAGATGTGGACAAATTGGAAAAAGTCTAGAGAAGAGCAACAAAAATGATAAAAGGTCTAGAAAACACGACCTATGAGGGAAGACTGAAAAAATTGGGTTTGTTTTGTCTGGAAAAGAGAAGATTGAGGGGGGCCATAACAGTTTTCAAGTACATAAAAGGTTGTTACAAGGAGGAGGGAGAAAAATTATTCTTAGGATAGGATTATCCTAAGATAATAGGATATAGGATATCCTATAAAAAGAGGATAGGACAAGAAGCAATGAGCTTAAATTGCAGCAAGGGAGGTTTAGGTTGGATGTTAGGAAAAACTTCCTATCATGATGGTTAAGCACTGGAATAAATTGCATAGGGAGATGGTGGAATCTCCATCACTTGGGGATTTTTAAGAGCAGGTTGGACAAACGCCTGTCAGGGATTATCTAGATAATACTTAGTCCTGCCTTGAGTGCAGAGGACTGGACTAGATGACCTCTTGCGGTTCCTTCCAGTTCTGTGATCCTAAGATAGGAAACAAAGGGTTGGAATAAATGATCAGTTTTCTCCATGGAGAGAAGTAAGTAGTGGTGTCCCCCAGGGGTCTGTACTGGGACCAGTGCTATTGAACATATTGATAAATTATCTTGAAAAGGGGGTCAACAGTGAGGTACAGTAGATAGTACAGAATTACTGAAGATAAGAGTTAAGTCCAAAGCAGATTGTGAAGGGTTACAAATGGATCTCATAAAACTGGATGATTGGGCAAGAAACTGTCAGGTGAAATTCAATGTAGGTAAATGCAAAATCATTCACATTGACAAACAATCCTAATTATATATACAAAATGATGGGGTCTAAATTAGCTGTTACCACTCAAGAAATAAACCTTGGAGTCACTGTGGATAGTTCTCTGAAAACATCTGCTCAATGTGCAGCAGGAGTCAAAAACTGACAAAGTTAGGAACCATTTCGAAAGGGATAAATAAGACAGAAAATATCATAATGCCACTATATAAATCCATTTTATGCCTGCACCTAGAATATTGTGTGAAGTTCTTGTTGCCCCGTTTCAGAAGAGAGATGTTAGAATTGGAAAAATTATAGAGAAATGAAACAAAAATGATTCGGGGTACGGAACAGCTTGCAGATGAGGACAGATTAAAAAGACTGGGACTGTTCAACTTCGAAAAGAGACAAGTAAAGGGAATCTGATAGCGATATATAAAATAATGAATGGTGTGAAGAAAGTGAATGGGAAGTGTTTATATAACACACAAACCAGGGGTCACCCAATTAAATTAATAGGCAGCAAATTTAAAACAAACATAAGTACTTCAGACAATGCCTAGTTAACTGTGGAACTCATTGCCAGGGAATGTTATGAAGGCCAAATATATAACTGGGCTCAAAAGAGAGTTAGTAAGTTCATGGGTGGGTTTAGGGGCAGAGATGGGCCTACGGCGCAAACTACAGCGCACGGGCCACATCTGACTTCTGAGCTCTTGGCCCAGGAGACAAGCCCCTGGTCCCTCCCCGGTTGTTACCCTTCTCCCGCAGCCTCAGCTCACTGCGCCACAAGTGCAATGTTGTGAGCTCCTGGGGCAGCATAGCTGCAGAGCCCGGCCTGACCCAGTGCTCTGTGCTGTGCGGTGGCGTGGCTGGCTCCAGCCAGGCACCGCGGTAAGGGGGGTGGGGTGGGGGGGTTGGATAGAGGGCAGGGGAGTTTGGGGGGGGGGTGGTCAGGGGGCAGGCGTGTGGATAGGGGTAGACTGGTAGAATTGTGGGTAGTGGGTAGGTAGTAGGACTCGTAGAATTGTGTCTGTAAGATTATTTACCAGCAGTGAATTCAGCCACCTGTGGTGCTAGTTAAATACTGTTCAATGAATATATTAGGCAACAAATACTGGTGAAATTCATTGAATTAGATATTTTTAAATGTTTCTTCCTCTTTAATCAGCCCTAATAATAAGTTACATATTTTGAAATAGTCCTGTAGAAAGTTGATTGCAATTATGTTACAATTAAATCCAGTACTCACCTACTGCACAGCTTGTTTTATTTCTTTAGACTGGGATTTTCAAAGAACTTAACTTGAAATTCAGTGATGTTTGGGGAACTACCTCAGCACCCTTTGAAAATCCTATCCTTAGACTTCAGAGAGCATAGCTTTGGAGATATGGCCTCAAGGGCATGATAACACATGTTTTTCACACTGCTTACTTTCAAAGATGGAATCATGTTTTAGCCATGTTGAGGAACTACTGTTGTAACCAGGTCCCCTGACATGGTTGGTCTTGTAGCATACGTGTAACCTTTTTCATATTCCAGTAGTTATTGCAACAGTTATTTCAACAGTAGAACTTCCTGAGCTTCATCAGGAAGACCTTTCCCAAGCCATGTCAAGCCACCTGTACTTTACAGAGACCCTGATTTTCATCCACCCACATGCCCCCGACTTATTGTGATATTGCCAGCTTTCAATGCAAGATATGATGTACAATGGTAGTTGCGTGGGTGACTTTAAAAAAAAAAAGCACCATAGTTGCTTTGGAAAGGACGTAAGTATAATGAACAAAAAGGGGTTGTGTTTTGATCCCCAGGTGGTGGTTTTTTTTGGTTTGTCTCAACCCCTCTTTGCTTTCAACCTAGAGCACCGGTCCCAAAAAGAATCTTTACTTTGCAAGCTGGTGGAACTGCAGACAGACAACTTCCTCTTACATTGATACCTGTCTGTCCTAACTTCCTTTCCTTCCACTTTATTTCAAATAAATCAGCAGTGACAGTCATGTAGCACAGAGCAGGCCAACCTAGATTTTAGCATTGTGCTTAGTAGAAGTTTGACACATTCCATCTCTTCACTTCCAGAATAGTTTCTGCTATCCCTGGAAAAACACTTCCTGTTGAAAGCAGTGATTCAGTTTACATTTGTTCGATAGATCCTTTCGTGTTCCCCATGTCAACAGAGTTGAAATCTACCACCTCTTCACCATCAGTATCTGCTTTCTTCAGTTTCCCTTCATTTTTTAACCATGTGCAGTGGGAAAATGTTTATCTTTTTAAAAAAATATATATGTTTGTTTAGTATATTGTACATAACAATGGAAGCACAGAAACCAAAGACCAGGCTAACCGGCAGCATTATTAATTGGTTTTGGTCCATCATGCTGCTTTGCTTCAGGATTGCTTTGTTAGATGAAATAGATGCACTCTTAAAATGTTCTGAAAGAGTATGCAGTGAACTTTTGGGGTATGAGAGAGAACAAAAAGGACTTCCATTTTCTTAATGGTATAACTGAGTGGATCAGAGCATTGCCCTAGCAATGGTGTAATTATGGTTGAAATGGCATTATGGTTTTAAGAAGTGAATATGGCTATCCACATATGCCCATCTCAATACACGTCTCTGAAGAAACCCCAGATAGCCTTGCACGGCTCTAGACCCTTCCCAAGCCCTGTCAAACCATCTGTATTTTACAGAGACCCTGATTTTCATCCACCCACGTGCCCCTTTAATATGTAAATCCCAGAGAATGTTTCCACTGAGTAGATGTATTTGCAAACCTGCAAAATAGTAATCAAACTGATTGCACATCAGACATCCCAGTGCCTGTTTTTCTCTGTCATGCCGTTCAGAGTTGAGGTCTCATAGCAACTCAGTGGTCATACACATTAAGGCATAAATTAACACCACATACAGTAAATAAAGCAATTGATGCAATTGCATATTATTTTGTTTTAGTTGTGTTATTGTAGTGCTCTGTGTGGTAGGTGATGTCTAAATATATTGGAAGCGGCAGTCCTCTACCCAAAGGGCTCACAGTCTTAAGAAATTTGAATGTCTTTGTAGTGGCCATAATTATATTGACATATGTTTTTGAATGTGGTAATATATTTGTATAGCAATTGAAGCAGTTGTATAAACATAAATAAGAGTATAAGGATTTGACACTACCATTGAATTGTCCCTATTAATATTTCAGATGTTACTGATCAGTCTTGTTTAGAACTATTGAACATTTGCTGAAGTAAGATAAACTGTTGTTTCGTTTAGATTATTGGGCACTGTGTGACAAGCATAGAGCCTGATCAGATAATGTTCAGCTGTAATCAAACATGTTTGAGAACTCAAAATTTAAAATCTTTGCACTTGTGTTGCGGTTCAAATACAAGACAGCACAAAGCTTTAAGCAAGCAAACAGGCTGGTCTGCCAACGGACTTCTCCCTGTCAGCTTTCCACCCTCTCCTTTATTCTTTCTCTCCCCCCGCTCATTACATTCTCCAACAGATAAAAGGAATACACTGGCTTTGTTTAACATTCTTATTTACCAATTTCTATCTACCGCATTCCTTGCTCTCGGGCCTTGAGCCCAGTCCTGGGAGGCTTCCCACGGTTCGTGTCATCTGGGCGAGATTCCAAGGTTCATGCCCTTGAGAGGAGCTGTGTGTGTACAGCTCCTGCACAACACTCCGGGTGTGCCCTGAATGTTGCCGAGTGCCTGAACCTTGTATGAATTCTACACACTTGTATACAACAGTTGTGCAAGTAGTCAAGTATCGGGGGTTGCCATGTTAGTCTGTATCCACAAAAACAACAAGGAGTCCGGTGACACCTTAAAGACTAACAGATTTGTTTAGGCATAAGCTTTCGGTTAAAAAAACACTTATTTTCCTCTAATAAATCACTCTTCTTTTTGCTCTTTAGATGTGTTCTAAAAGAATTGGAGTCATTGGGGAAGGAACTTTATGGAGCAAAGTTAATTGCCCAAAGATTTCAAGTTAGAAACTGTTCCCACTTCAAAGATCCAGTGAGTGGCTCAGCATGTCTATTGTCCATGATTGAGATGGGTAATCCTCATCACTATTTCATTGCTACACAGGTAATACATTTTAAAATAAAGTTAAGCCATATTTCCTAAATCTGTTCTCAGATTCGTACGTATCAGGAATTCTACCAACTATGAACGTGAGATTTTATATGGTTTATTGGGACTAAATTTATAAGACTTGCATGCCCAAGACAAGTAACTTTACATGCAAATTACAAAATGGGAAAATTGTAGGTTGCATGCAAAGTTACCAGTTTTGTGAGCACCAGTGAATGATTAGCTGTTACTGTAGTCAGTACCCTAAAACAGAATGACAGTTTTAAGGAAACAAGCAGCGGATGTGATTTTTTGCATGATGAATGGGAACAAAAAGATTGTATGTGCCGTGATTGCCTGTCCACCAGTTTGTGTTAGCATTGGGTTAACATACTGTAATTTTAATTAAAATGCCAAACTGGAAATTTGGAATAGCTTTTGGTTCATCTTTTTTAAATAGAAAATGATAATTAAACTGGCAAGTGCTGTTGAAACTTGTCTTATCTGCACACACTAATTTTTAGGTCTGTTGTGACTTTGTGCATTCACTAGCACTTTTATGTATTTGAATCTGTTTTATATTCTGCACTACATGAAAATAAGATGGTTTGCTAGAATCTTATAGCATCTTCTAATAGAACATTTACCTCTTTTGCAAATTACATGGGCAGTTACCTGATTACCTGTTCTAAACACATTTTTTTCTGTCCACAAAGGTAGGAGGTAAATTTCACTGTCAGGGATATGGATTATGGTAAGGGAGGTAATTGGGGTTTATCTGCTAGATTAATACTCTGACTTTTTTTTATAGACTGTATCTGTCTAAACTTTTAAAAGCAGTTGCATTTGAATTGAAGGTTTGATCCATCCCAAAATATTGACTGATATGTTTGATTTTGACAGGACCAGGATTTGGCAACAAAAGTGAAGAAAAAGGCTGGAGTTCCTCTTCTGTTTATTATTCAGAACACTATGGTGCTGGACAAACCTTCTCCGAAATCACTGGCATTTGTTCAAGCCATGCAAGCAAATCAGCTTGTTCCAGAGCACCAGAAACAAAGTATTGAGCATCTTAAAGAAGAACAGGGACTAGTAAAAGAGTCTGAAAACAGAAGAAAACGTAAGAGGGCAGGTGGCCCCAATCCTCTCAGCTGCCTGAAGAAAAAGAAAAAAGTGCAGGAGACCCAACAGCCTTCCACTGCTAAGAAGAAACGAAAAAGAAAACGAAACCGGGCTAAATCAGAAGAAAAGGCAGTGTAAGTGCAGCTGAGTGTGAAAGCATAAAGCTGCCCATATAAACCGTACAGGACTTAAATACAGCTTGAACTTTGTGCAAAGAAAAAAAATTCTTACAATTCTAATATGAAAATAAAAGTGTTTATTTTTATGAAATATATATTCTTCATTATAACTTTCACCACCTTTGTATATTTATATCATCCCAGTAATATAACTTTCTCTTTATTAATCAAATAATTACAAAACTTTTTTTCCCACTATAACCACATCTGCCCACAATGAGCAACTGGAGAGCTGTTATGTTGCAAAATCTGGTATCTGGAGTGCCCCAAGTAGTGTGGTTTTGATTTTTATTATTATTATTACTATTTTTATATTATTATTTATTATTTCTCTGTGCACCGTTCTGCCCTCACATGAACAAATGGTGTGTATTGTTCCTGGCCCTGCCTTAGTTGGGATCCTAAGGAGGAAGTGTAAATGAGTTTTATAAATTTTCCTGAAAGGTGTTGTAACAGGATCTCCTCAAACTCTGCATCAAACCTTGTCTGTATTTCCCACTCTCATGTAAGCCAGTGTCCAATTTCCAGAACTGTGCGTCAGTAAAGCTTCCTCTACTGTCAGTATTCATTGCTTTTTCTGTGGGATACATTTATTGAAACTCAAACACAGTTCAAATTAAATCAAGATGGACAAACCACCTGGATCCTTCTGAGGCCTCTGCCTCAGCAGGCTGCTACCTATGCAGAATGTATACCCCCTGCTAGGTCTTCCACCTGGCTAGTGTGGCTAGTTCCCTTCCAGGTCTTTTCCCTGACCCAGCATCTCCTGCAGGAGACTTCCCTACTCCCTGCACCTCTCCCTTCAGTTGAGCTGCTTGTTGGTCTCTTTATTTCACCACTTGGGAGGCAGCTAGTTAGTCACAGGTTAACTCCTTTCAAGGGATCAGCCCACCTTTTGACAGTTTTCCTTTACAGCACTAGTGCCTGAATAGGTCACTTAGGCACGGAAGAAATGGTAGGAACAAGTGTGCAACTTGGTCATGCTGAAACAGTGCCACACAACAAAAGAAGTGAGGTGGGTCATAGTATGGCACATCTAAGCCAGAGCTGTGAAACACTTGGCTAGCTGGCAGTGGTGCGCACTGTATTTTTTTTGCAGCCTGCCTCGGTCATCTTGTAAGATTATAAACAGAATAAAAACAGGCTGCCAAGAGAGCTTGAAAAAATATAGCAGGGCACTTCTGCATCTTATTCTGTTTCCTGCATAAGGTTGCCTGTGCAAGGAGAAATGGAGACAGTAAAGTGAAACTGACAAAAAGTCTATTCTATAGAAACTGACAAGAGTCTATTGAAGAAGGATGCAGTATAATATGTAGATGGAAATTGTATGATTTATAATCTGTTCAGACTGTGTCTGCCCAACCACAGTGTAATTCCTATAAAGAGGAAAAACTTAAAACCAGTTAAGGGTGCTAAGGGGAACACCCTCTTCCTCCACACCACAATCCCTTAAAAGCAGCTAAGCTATCCATTTTAAATGGATCTTAGCCCCCACACAACACATTCACTATTTTACTGGCAGAGTCTCAGCTGTAGATAAAAATGTACCTTCCTATACAATAACACTATTTCTCACAGTTGCAAAGCTTCTTCAATATTAAGATGGCTATTAGAAAGTTGTACAGGTGTAGTATATAAATGTGGTGGTTTCCCGCAAGGGAGTATGAGGGCAGAATTAAGTTTTTATGTTATAAGTGCACTTGTTGCCTGTTACCACTTTTGAGGCACTTTCTCAAGTAATAGCTCTCAGGGCTTTATGGGACTTTGACCCCTTCCTTCTTCCGAGATCCTTAGGGACCTAGAGGTTTGTAGAAATTTCCCACAACCCACTGCTCATGAGAGGAATGCCAGGAAATGTGGAATAAATAGTTAATATACAGCTACAGTGGTGGACTGGAGTACTATGGTAGATGTGGCCCAAAACTGCCTATAACACCATAGCTTCACCACACCATCCAATTCTACAGCATAAATATGGCTGAGGACATAACCACCCTCTGCAATGAGTGCTGGAGACTGGAGCAGCAAAGGTAGCTTTGATACTTATGGTGAAAAAGCCCTGCCTGCAGAAAGTAGTGTAGTTACAAATGGGGATGTAGTAGTTAAGTCACACCAATCATGATGCCACTCTGCTGAGCAGTAGTTAGTGTCCTTTCACTGATGAGGAGTCTGGGTATCTTCTCATAGATACTAAGGTCAGAAGGGACCATTATGATCATCTAGTCTGACCTCCTGCACAACACAGGCTACAGAATCTCACCCACCCACTCCTGTGAAAAACCTCACCTATGTCTGAGCTATTGAAGTCCTCAAATCATGGTTTAAAGACTTCAAGGAGCTCCAGCAAGTGACCCGTGCCCCATGCTACAGAGGAAGGCAAAAAACCTCCAGGGCCTCTTCCAATCTGCCCTGGAGGAAAATTCCTTCCTGACCCCAAATATGGTGATCAGCTAAACCCTGAGCATATGGGCCAGCCAGATACTACAGAAAATTCTTTCCTGGGTAACTCAGATCCCACCCCACCTAACATTCCATCACAGGCCATTAGGCCTATTTACCATGAATATTTAAAGATCAATTAATTACCAAAATTGTGTTATACCATCTCCTCCATAAACTTATTGAGTTTAATCTTAAAGTCAGATAGATCTTTTGCTCCCACTGCTTCCCTTGGAAGGCTATTCCAAAACTTCACTCCTCTGAGGGTTAGAAACCTTCGTCTAATTTCAAATCTAAACTTCCTGGTGGCCAGTTTATATCCATTTGTTCTTGTGTCCACATTGGTACTGAGCTTAAATAATTCCTCTCCCTCTCCGGTATTTATCCCTCTGATATATTTATAGAGAGCAATTATACCTCCACTCAACCTTCTTTTTGTTAGGCTTGTGACTTGTGTGTTCATACTCTTTATACCAGTCCTTTTACAGAGGCAGTCACAAGCAGTCCCAAGGCAATCACCTCTCTGTGCCAGCAATGCCCCTCTGCCATGTACATTGGCCAAACCAGACAGTCTCTACGCAAAAGAATAAATGGACACAAATCTGACATCAGGAATCATAACATTCAAAAACCAGTAGGAGAACACTTCAACCTCTCTGGCCACTCAGTAAAAGATCTTAAGGGTTGCAATTTTGCAACAGAAAAGTTTCAAAAACAGACTTGAACAAGAAACTGATGAGCTTGAATTAATAAGCAAACTAGATACCATTAACTTGGGTTTGAATAGAGACTGGGAGTGGCTGGGTCATTACACATATTGAATCTATTTCCTTAAGTTAAATATCCTCACACCTTCTTGTCAACTGTCTAAATGAGCCATCTTGATTATCACTACAAAAGTTTTTTTCTCCAGCTGATAATAGCTCATCTTAACTAATTAGCCTCTCACAGTTTGTATGGTAACTTCCAACTTATCTGTATGTATGTGTGTGAGTGTATATATATAAATAATCTTACTATATGTTCCATTCTATGCATCCGATGAAGTGAGCTGTAGCTCACGAAAGCTTATGCTCTAATAAATTTGTTAGTCTCTAAGGTGCCACAAGTACTCCTTTTTGCGGATACAGACTAACACTACTCTGAAACCTCTCTCTAAATGATTAATCCAGAGCCAAAGCCTGATCTCTAGGAAGTAACTCTGCCCAGAGAATTGACTCTAGTTAGATTAAAGCAGAGAGCAAGCTTGGTGTGTGCAACAGCTTCCCCTCAAAGAGTCTGCATCACTAACCTAACAGCACTAAGCCATTTCTTCAAAGACTGAAATTCTGAGACTAAGAAAAAATTGGTACGACTGTGTAACAATGCCATCTCTTGACTCCCACCATAACAATATTAAAGTTAATTATTTTCATCATGTTTCCTTAGTATCTTTTTTCATATAACTCAGCACTGTTGCTGCCGTCAGGAAGTTGTAGATTGGGGTTGAAAATGGATGTGCAGCATTGGAGAGCCTGGGCTAGCTCCACAAAGGGAGCTTTAGGCACTTTGCCACCCAGTGAAATCCACAGCCTGAGTTAGGTGCCCAGGCTCCCTATACAATGCCTGGGGAGAGTTAGGTGTCTCACAAATGCCAGCAGGCTGAGCAGGGAGCTGTGTAAGCTAGCCAGTAGGAAAAGCTGAGGAGAGTTATGGCCTAAGCCCTATCCCTGAAAGGGAGGTACTCAGCTACTGCCACATCTGTGACCCTTCTCCTGGAGTTCGAGGAAGTGCCTTGTTTATAACGTTTAGCCTGGTGGTTAAAACGCTCCCCCAGGATGTGGGGAGACCAGGGTTTGATTTCACACTCTACCTGATGCAAATAAGTGATTTGAAGTTGGCTCGCCTGCCTCCTAGGAAAGTACACTAATCACTGGGCTATTGGGGTTTTCTGGAGCAGATCACTTTCAGGGCAGGTCTACACTACCACTTAAGTTGATCTAACTTACATTGCTCAGGAGTGTGACTCAGGGCATGGCTGCACTTGCAGATGTAGGGCGCTTTGAGTTAAACCAGCCTTAGTAGAGAGCAGTAGGGAAAGCGCTACAATCTGTCCACACTGACAGCTACAAGCGCACTGGTGTGGCCACATTAGCCGTTCTTGCAACGGCCACAGAGAGCAGTGCATTGTGGTAGCTATCCCAGCATGCAAGTGGCTGCAATGTGCTTTTCAAATGGGGGTGGAGGGGGTGGAGTGTGACAGGGACTGTGTTGTGTGTATGTGGGGAGAAAGAGAGTGAGTTTTTGGGGGGGGGGGGCTGAGAGCATGTCAGCATGCTGTCTTGTAAGTTCAGATAGCAGACCCCTCTCCCCTCCTCCCCGCCTCTCTCTCTCACACACAGCATTCCACAGTAATGGTTGCTTTGTCTCGGAGCAGATAAGCAGCCGGCTGTCAGCAACGGAGCTTTCAAAGGGGATATCTGCATTCCTGCAGTGGAGTTCAAAACAATGAGAAGAGTGGCCACTTGACTTAAGGGGATTATGGGACGTTTCCGGAGGCTGATCAGAGCGCAGTAATGCAACACCTCGTTCACACTGATGCCCAGGCCTTTCAGCCAAGGCGCAACAAGCGTTAATCTTCTCGCCGAGGTGGAGTACCAGGAGTGCTCTAGCTGTGGAGTCAGAGCGCTCTACGTGCCTTGCCAGTGTGGATGGGGAGCGAGCTCAGGCATCTGGGGCTGCTTAAATGCACTCTAACTCACAAGTGTAGCCAAGCCCAAAGCTTTCCCTCTCCCCCAGCAACACAAGTTTTGCATTGTTCACACTGGCGCTATGTCAGTGGCAGAAGCTCTCCCGCCAACATAGCTTATGCTTCTAACCGAGGTTGAATAATTATGCCTACAGGCGAGCGCTCTCCTGTCGGCATAGTGCGTCTTCACCAGACATGCTACAAGTGCGCAGCTGCATTAGCACCGTAGTGTAGACTTGCCCCCAGTCTCTCCTGTTGACGCTGTTCCACTGTGTATAAATATGTAAATATGCTTGGGTCAGACAAAGTGAGAATTCCTCTATAGCCCAGTGACTCTATAGACCACTCACGTGGAACGCCCAGATTCCAGTCCCCTTACTCCAGTGAATGCTTAGGCTTACCCTCTCTTGAGCATTTCCTACTGGCTAGCTTAGGTGGCTCCTGCTCAGCGTGCTGGTTTTTGTGGATTCCATTCTTGGGTACCTAACTCTCCTTATGCATTGTATAAGGATCCTGGGTGTCTGACTCAGGGCTGTGGATTTCACTGGGCAGCATGGCACCTAAGAATTGGGCACTGCATTGAAACACCTAAGTCCTTATGTGGATCTAGCCCTCGCCTATAGAAAGTATCCACAATAGAAAAAGAAAAATTGCAGCTGTGAAGCTGCTGACCTACCCTGTTTCTGAATGGAACTCCCGGGTTAGCTGGCTTGGGGGATCCTGCTCACCCAGGAAGTGCTACAGTTGATCAGATCATGTGGTGTTATCATTTTCATGCAAACTCAGACAGAATTTTAAAAGAGATTTACACCCCCATCTACAAGTAAACCAGTTACATTATGGTTAATATTCACAATGCCTCAGTGCACAGCTGTTACAGGATTGAAGCCTTTGATTGTCCAAGGTGGTGATCTTAAAGTATATCCTATCAGCACTGAGTCTGATCAGTTTTATGTGGCTTAGTGGACTTGCTTATGTCTGTAATGTAGATAGGTCCCAACTGTATCTTATAATAAGGATTTGGTCTTAGGATTGTTCTGTCACAGCATGTCTCAGGCAGCGTGTCATTGTTCTCAAAGCTATAGCCACCACAAACAGGACTGAAGGATTTCTTCTTGTCTCAGAAGTAATGTTTAAATCCCTTTCTTGAGCAGGTACTGTAATTAAATCTGAAGGAGTGGAAATGAGGAACCGAAGTTTTAGGACATCATGTATTACATCTAGAACAGATTAATAGGGGAATAAAACAGCACTATTTCAGCTGCAGCCGGCAGGGCATTAATACTGAATTTTGAACAAAGCATTCTCATCTCCAGGCAGCAGAACGTATTTACCAGGACAGCCTGCCAATTCAATTGGCTGGATTTATATGTTGGTGTGATCTGGTATTCTACGATAAATCATTCCCTAGCATCAGCTGACAACACTGAATAGATGAGTTAATCAGGAGCTACTGGAAACTGAAATGTTTATGAATCATTAAAATAAATTTGAATGTGGTATGACTAGAAGAATAAATACATTCTGGTTGGGTGCGATAATTCGTTCCCCAGCAATGTATTTCTTTGGGTCCATGAAAATAAATAGAAAGTCCAGAGCTCCTGCTCATTTGTTTTCTCTTGTCCTGGTGTTCTGCAAATTATTTCTTGATCAACTGTAGTGTCTTTGAGTAGATTCCTGAACACGTCTTGTTGGATGCTAAAGATGAAGTGCAAAAAAAAATGCAATTTGTATTTGTCTAGCAACTTTCCTATCACAGTTTCACAAGCTACTGTATTGTATACCTCTGTGCAAGCATATCGTACAGGAAGCAGCCATACATATGGGGAAATGAGCATATAAGAGCCAAGAGCAAGGCTATACTTTACAAGGAGGAAGACTGCATTGCACATAGTGAAACTGACAGAAAGTAAGGCTTCAGTATCAAGTGTGTTAGAAGTGATAGAGAGAAGATATACTTCTAGAATTGGGGCTAAAACCACCTATTTCTGTGGGGGAAGAATGTGTGATGTATTTTGGTAACTATTATGTCTTTATGTAATGTGTACTATATATTTATATCCCTATGAACTCTGCTAACTGCAGAGACAGTCAGTCTTTTTGAAAGGCAGAGTTGCTCCAGTATGCTACACAGGAGACAAATTGTACTCTCTCCTAATGACTTTCCTTTTACTTGATTGTTTTGTTATTTGCCTTAATCGAAAATTTTTAAAAAAGCATACAATTGAACTGTGTGCAGGGAAAAAAACATAGCAATAATGCTGGCAAAAAGGCTTAGATCTAAAACAACCAAGAGCTCAGAGAAAGACAAACAACAGAAAAGAGGTGATCTGGGTTAAAAACAAAAGAAGGGTGTAATAGTCTGTACCTCAAAGTATCACCCTGGAATCCCCATATTCATCATGGTGATATGATTATGAGATGTTTTGTACAAAGTAAGCCTTGTGAAGTAGCATTTAAAAAGTCCCCCTTCATCTGTTCATTAATATCCTGTTGGATTGTATGTACTATCATTGTATGTGACGTTATGAAGCAGTGCCATGTGTGTTACTGAAATATGTTGGCAGATGCCAACAGCCAGCCTTTCAATTGCAGCTAGGGTGACCAGATCGCAATGTGAAAAATCGGGACAGGATTTTTAGGCACCTATATAAGAAAAAGCTCTGAATACCGGGACTGTCCCTATAAAATCAGGACATCTGGTCACCCTAATTGCAACAAAGGTGGCCGTGCTGACGGACATGTGCTGACAGCCCATTGAAGGGAATCCACCCTCCAAAAGGCCATCCCAAAGCATTCTCAGTGAGAGCATGTAGCCAGTGGAGACTGCCTGACCAATGGGGGCTGCCTAACCCCCATGTCACAGCAATGATCTTTGTAGCAAGCTGGAAGAAAATATAAAAGCAAGACAGTGACATTATCACCTGGCCTCTTTTTCCCCTCTCCCATCTTGACTCCTCAAAGAAGGTCTGGAAGACAAAGACTTTGAACTGGGGAAGGGTGGTCCCAGGCTGGAAGGAAGTCCCAGCCTGTGTATGGAGGAACTGTAGCCTGCTTGTACCATCGGTCAGGCTTAGACATTGTTTGATTCAACACTTGCTTAGACTAAAAGTTTAGGATTTAGAATGCATGTTTACTTTTCATTTTCTTAAGGTAACTATGTCTGATCTTTATACCTAGCATGTATAATTAAGGCTATGTTTTAGTCATGGGTATTTTTAGTAAAAGTCACAGACAGGTCACAGGCAGTAAACAAATATTCATGGTCTGTTATCTGTCCATGACTTTTTCTAAAAATACCTGTGACTAAAACTTGGGGGGCTGCCCGGTGGCTCCACTGTACCCGGCCAATGGGAGCTGAGAAGCCTGCGCTCTGGGCGGAGGCAGTGTGCAGAGCTGCCTGGCCATGCCTCTGCCTAGGAGCTGAGCAAGGGGGATGTCACCACTTCTGTGGAGCCCCCCAGGTAAGCGCCATCCAGAGCCCGCCTCACCCCGTCCCGTACCCCAACCCTCTACCCCCTCCCACACCCAAGCTCTGCTTCTGGTGGGGGGAAGGATGCAGTGGCCCAAGACTGCCTCAGCAGTGGCCAGTGAGAATGGCACAGGGGCTGCCTGAGCTGTCCCTGAGCCTGGCACACCAGCTGCTGCAGAAGTCACGGAGATCACGGAAAGTCATGGAATGTGAG